ACAAGATGAATCCGTGGAGCTCACGTTTCAATTAAATTACCGATTTTAATACAACTAGTATGTCGTAATACGCATTTTTAGACTCATTAGAAAATAAATCTGGTATAGCTTCTTTAACTGGGACATAAATAAATAGAAATACAAATTTGAACAAATTAATAAAAATCAGAAAAGGAGCTCTGTATAAACTACTGGGAGGACACAGCAGAAGTGTGAGAGCTCAGGGAGGTAGAAGTCGGACGACACAGATCATAGTTCAACAGAACCGAGTCAAAGACCGAGGACTGGAGGACCCTCCGCACGTTGCACTGCACCACCAGGGAGGCGAACAGAAGAACCACAGCACAGTCTGCATCTGCACCACCGAAGGCGGCAAACTACCTCAGCACAGTCTACACCTGCACCACGCAGGGAACAGAAAGACCTCAAACAGACACACCTGCACCATCAGGGGCCGACAGCAGAGGACCAGAGGAACTTCTTCCAACGTGAGAGCAGACGAAATCAATGGTGTTATGTTCGAAAGAACAGATGTAACAGTGCAGTTTAATAACACAACCATTGAATGAGACCAGCAGAAGACCCAGAATGACCCAGAGAGAGCTGAAAGATGAGAGAGGACCAGAGGCAGACCACGTGTGCAGCTCACAGAATATGTTATTGTTAGTTCAGTATAAGATCACATCAAGAAAACCAAAACTTCACCCAAACTAGTATCCACAATCAGAGACCAATACAAGAAACGTGTTAGAAGCGTAACTGTGTCCATCTCAATAGTACAGTATCAATCAAATCCAATTTAGAATCTAAATTTCTGTAGCCTCAATCCTGGTATCAACAGACCCTTCGTCCCTTTCGGTACAGATCCGTCCCTCAATGTGCTCCTAGGAGGTTCTCACTTTTCACCCACCAGACCTTAAGAGATGCTCGTCTATGCAGAAGGCTCTAAGGGCATTGTCTCATCCATCAGGACGCAATTGTCTCCATGTGTTTGTTATAATTTTAATTTCTCTGTGTTTGTGAACTGTTTTGATTCGCCAATTTGTGGTTGGTGAATTGACATCTTTGATAAAGTCCTAAAAAGATAAGTAATGTTTCTCAGGACTGCATTCAGGGAGCAGGGAGGACAGAGCCCACTGCCATTATTGGGAAACTAATAATTATTATTAGTTATAAATATATAAGTTATACTCCACTGTCCTATGCTTTAATGTATATTCGCACGTTCCCATCAGTTATGATCATTTCCTGAGTCAAAATCGCCGAAATCCCGATATTCTAATACAAAGAGACGAGGTGAGGCTGCGCTCCTGCGTGCCTCACCCCAGACCGCTCCCCACAGAGTTGTGTGTGTGTGTCTGAGTGCACTCAGCTCGTGCAGTTGATATATCAACCGTATGTTTCAAATATCCTGCTTTAAAAACATTTTTTAAACCTCTTATTGTTTAGTAAGTGTAATTGCACGTATGTAGTACAATTAGTATATAGTAAAAGTCCTTTTGACGTAGATGAACACACAAGAAAAGCTTGCGTGAGGCAGGCGTATCTGTGCCTCACCGCAAGGGTGATAGTGAGCATAAAGTTCATACCAGAGTTGCTAAACAACAATCAGCCCCAAAATGCTATTACTTTTGCTGGAAAAATGGATGATTTGAATGAAGATTTTTTTTCTCAATTGGACTTCAACAAAGAAAGAATTAATAAAGACTGGGAGACACCACTGTACTTACGAGGTTCGTCCGCTGCGGGAGGAGTTTGTTATCTGTGTTTTATGTTGAACAATGACGAGTACCGGCAAAGTAAGTGCTTTCCGTAAACACTGATTCAAACACTGCTCAAGAGTTTCTGCAACTTGTTTTAAATTAAGTTTATGTTCCTCGCGTCACTCTCTCCTCGCGTCTCCGTCTCGTCCTCTGCTCCTCGAGCACGTATCTCTGCTCCTCTCGGTCTCTCTCTGCTCTCTCTCCTCGCGTCTCGCTCTCCTCGCGTCTCCGTCACTCACTGCTCCTCGCGTCTCCGTCTCTCTGCTCCTCTCTGTCCTCTCTGCTCCTCTCGGTCCTCCGTCTCTCTCTCATCAGCGTCTCCCGGTCACTCTCTGCTCCTCGCTCACCCGTCTCTCTGCTCTCTGCTCCCTCTCTGTCTACGTCTCTGGCTTCCTCTCTCTCGCTCGCTCCTCTCTCCTCGCAGTCTCTCGCACCTGCGCTTCTTAAAGATGTTGTTTGATGCGGGACAGAGTCAGCATGCTAGATTTTGTGTGAGTTATTAAAAGAAGCTGGTTCTCTTATCTTTACCGATATACTAAAGTTTGTGGAATGTCATTGCATTGGGTGATTAAATGCTATTTTATTGAATAATTATTGTAAATCAGACTTTTAAAGTCGAGTGCCTCCCATCACACCTCACCGCACTCCTGCTGTTTCTAAAATCTATTTTGTTTTAGAATTATATAAACATCAGGAATAACACCTTTGGTAAGAAACTATTGAAAATGGACAAAAGCCTCTTTACATCTAAGAAAGTAAGAGAGTGTCCATGCACTAGGATCCGACATGTGATATTGGATTATTAAAACTGGGGTACCTGACTTTTCATTAATATAATAACTCTGCAATCTCCCCACCGGAGATCTTTATATACACAACTAAATAATAATAATAATAATGCAGGGGTTTTACATAGCCACTCTCTCAAAAAGGCGTCACTCCAAACACAAAGGTCAAAAATACTAACTGAGCCAATGCTGCCACTGGGGCACACTGAGATAATTGAAAGAAAGTGATCTTCTGTGTAAGACAGAACCCTATAAATCAAAGATTTGAAAAGATCAGTAAAGAAGTTCTGTTCTTGTCCTAGACAAGGGACAGTTCATGCAGAAAGATCCAAACCACAGAGGCTCAAACTCAGGGTCCTTCTATAACTTTTATTCTAACATATCTGAAGTCAGGGGGGGGCAAGGGAGCCAAACCCAAACACTATAAATGTAACAGATGAGACTGAAGTTTTTTAACTATTGATCTTACCAATTATATGGTTATTTTAACACAAGGACTCCCAGAGATTTAGTTTTAAGCCGTAGAGACTCACCTCATTAGACTCTTGCCCTCATACCTTTTGACTTTCCTGTTTTTTAGCTGTATTTTTCTGTCATATTTTTATGAAATATATTTTTACGTTGTAATTCTGCATTAAAAAGGCAGAACTAGAGTTAATTCCTAAAGTAAAACTAATGTAGCCGTTTTGATCATTTGGCAACCAACAGGTGCTGTTCCTGACTGGTTCCTGTACTGCTATCAGTATCACTTAATAAAAGTGAGTATAGGTACAAAGTTTGTGGATCACTTTTAACAAATCATGGTGGAAAACAAACTCTTTGGGATTTTTTCCTGAATTGCCAGGTTATTGAGGAGAGAATCAAAAAGACGGCTCATGGCGACTTGGAAGTCCTGTGTAAAACTTTAACATGATGAAGAACACACCACATTAATACAGTTGACAACATTTATCACTCAGTGTTTGACCCTCCTGTCGGTAGTACTAAGTGACCAGCAGAGGGAGCCACACACCTGACACTGCACAAAGCACAGAAAGCCTATGAGAGTTCCTACACAAACAACACACACACACACACACACACCACACACACAAACAAACACTGACACACACACTCTGAGCCAGACAACCTCAGGTGCCTCCTCAAAGCCTCCTTGTGAGCCCTCAGGAGCCCCCGTGAGACCCAGGAGCCTCATCAGGAGCCTCAGGATCCACATGGTGTCTCTCTGCATGTGGAGGAACTTACTCGTGGTGACGACATGAGTTTTTCTGATGTAAAATCGATGAAAGGACTTATTGTTCTGAAATAGAAACACTATATTTAACACAGTATACTTTCCTTCTCTTCGCCACCAGGCAGACCAGTTCAGCACAGAGCAGAAAGCCCATTGCCGAGTCACACACCCCTAAGGCCCACTTTAGCTGTGAACACAGCCTAAACCTGATGCGTATCATCACACCTCCCGCTCTTTACACTGTAGTACATCCTGAAGGCCTCTTCTTTGGGAATGTTTGGTAAAGCGAAAAGCGGGATGTCTCCGAACGTAGTCCTGCTCCATCAGCTGGAAGTTCCAATTATATCATGAAAAGGAATTTGATCCAGATCGCTTTTGTGAAAGGTTCGAACCGTATTAATCTCTATCACCTGCGCCACAAAGCGGTTTATAGCAGTCAATAGTTCTAGAAGTACATCTAGAATTAAAACTATTTCCACTGCCTTATATTTAGAAACGACTTTTACATTTAAGTATTTAGGCACTTATTCGACTGACAAATGATTCACTTTAACTTTTAAAAAAGTAAATAAAGTGGTCCCTCACTCACTACATCTACCTTCTGCACCTTCACGGCCTGTGTGCTTTTTTTGTGGCAGACTATCAGGTACTATAAGTATTAGTAGCAGTTAAGTAGTGATAATAGCATAAGTTGTAGTAGTTTCAAATGTTTGTCTTTTAGTAAAGTAACTCAATTCTCTTCCTTTTATCATCTGTACAATCTCAAGTCCTGAGACAAGTGATACCGACACAGGCCTTTTTGCAAGATAAATAAAACCACGTCTTGCTACTGAGAACCTGAGTGAACCAGACGGTGGATGGTGTGTTCCTCGTCCATGGAGAAGGTAACTCCTCCCTCAGCATTTCCGCTGAAGCGCAGTAGGAACTTCCCTCTCTGCTCCTCTTCAGAAGATCTTCTCTTTGCCTTTGTCACAAAATCCATGATCAGTACTGAAACACGAGGAACAAAACCCACAATCAGACTGAAACACATAGGAAAAAAACCCACAATCAACTGAAACACAGAGGAACAAAACTCACCACAATCAGACTAAACACAGATGAACACCAAACCCATGAACAGACGAAACACAGAGGAACAAACCCACAAACAGACAGAAACACAGAGGAACCAAAACCCTGATCAGACTGAAACACAGAGAACCAAACCCATGATCAGACGGAAACACAGAGGAACCAAACCAAGATCAGACTGAAACACAGAGGAACCAAACCCATGATCAGAACTGAAACACAGAGGAACCAAACCATGAGCAACTGAAACACAGAGGACCAAAACCCATGATCAGACTGAAACACAGAGGAGAACCACACCCCATGATCAGACTGAAACACAGAGGAACCAAAACCCATGATCAGCTGAAACACAGAAGGAACCAAACCCATGATCAGACTGAAACACAGAGGAACCAAACCCCTATCAGACTGAAACACGAGGAACCAAACCCATGATCAGGACTGAAACACAGATAGAACAAAACCCATGATCAGACTGAAACACCAGAGGAACCAAACCATGATCCGACTGAAAACACAGAGGACGACCAAACCCATGATCAGACTGAAACACAGAGGAACAAAACCCATGATCAGACTGAAACACAGAGGACCCAAACCCATGATAACCAGAAACACAGAGGAACTAACCCAAGGAACAGACTGAAAACTCAGAGGGACAAAAGTTTTTGTCTCAAAGGAGGTATTCATACCCAAGACTGGAAGAAGCCAAAATCATATGTATGTATTCAGGCTCTGGCTAAGATTTCAGACCGGCGCAGACTCAGAGACCACAATTAGTGATCCAGGGCTAAATCCATTTGAGCACAGGGAAAAAAAACAATTTATACAATGAGTAGAGGATTGGTCAAACTACTTTTTCTATAATGTAACAATATTATCATATGCGTCTATATCTTTTTATCTGAATTCTTTATCATCACTGACCAACATTATCTTTTTTAATTAGGATTATGCCATGAAGGGCATGGGTAACTCGCGATTAATCGCAACTTTTTTATCTATTCTTTATTGTCCGTCTGAATCATCATTTTAATCTCTAAAACGTCACAAATTGTATTTTGTTTTTTTTAGAGTTTAGATTTCACACTCACTCAGAATGCAAAATGTCAAACAATTCAAAGGCGTCATAACACAAAGTTAACGTCGTTAACAATGAAGCCAGGAAAGCATTCCTCATTTCTACTTCAGCAGTCTGGGAGCGCTGTTTGTGCATTCTACCTTCGAGGCCGGAAAGCGACTCGTCTGTTTTATCTTTTTTTGACCAATCTCTTCATGGTAAATTCTCTTGACCAATAAAAGCATCCAGGTAAACCAGGGATGAAAATTTTCTGTGGATCCGCGAATTCCACTTTTTCGTGAAAATGCATTTCTGTGAAATGTTGTGGAACGCGGATTTGCTGTACATACTCGAAATACGGGATTCAAGTCCTACATTCTGACCCGGAGAAACTGTGGCCGCTTTGACACAGCTCAGCGAACGCAGCAGCCAAATCGGGTCATGGACCGATTGCGGACATAACATCCCCAGCTGTTGCATGTGCGGGTATTGTTTGTCTTCCCTCTCCCCGTGTCTCCTCCCAAAGACAACCAAAACTCACAGAAATAAAGCTCAGGTACCTACATTTTTGTTTGCATTGACAATGCAAGACAAAATGAAATGTTGTGAACAAATCCAACAGAACAAACCCACAACAGTTGTGTTTTTTAAAAATTGCTTACTTAGAAAAAAACAAAAAACTAAAAAGAGTCCAGTGAGTAAATTAATGACATTTAGGCTGAGAGAGGCTTTTAAATATTTTTTTCCACTATTTTTTTGACTTATTGTATTGATAAACATGTGTTTGTTCCCACATTGTTTTGGTTATTTTATTAATCTGTCCTTTGTAGAAGTTGTTTATTTTTGTATTATTCCTACTGAAGGTTTATAATAATAGCTGCATACTTATTTTATAGCCACAAATGTCAGCTCTCAAATTCTATTGGAATTATGTATTCTGTTTCGAGATAATCCATTCTGTAGAACATTGAATTTCAGGAAAAACTTCAGGTTTTGGAGGAGGTTCTCCATGTCGGCCGTAGTTTTTACAGTTATGTTAACTCAGTGTGTCGGGCCTTTATGCATAATTGGTAAAAATCCCCTCAACTACCCGTTCTAAGATCAAAACAGGGTGATAGACAATAAAGTAACAAAGTGCCTAACACTTTGTTTCTCAGTTGCGCAATCCATAGTCTTGACAAGAGCGTGGCGGAGGAGAGTTTGCATCAGCCATGTGTAGTGGATGTGCTACGGTGATAAACTAACGCATAGCTCACAACCCCCCAATCAACACTCAGATAACTTTAGTTCATCGACATAACTTCAGTTATGGCAACTTTTTGAAACCAGTTGCTAGACAAACTTTCTTTCAACAGCGACCGAAGCAGTAACAGCTAACAAGCAAAACACAAACCAAACACTATCGAAGCGGATTGTGGGCGGGGGGACAACACAATATGACTATATACAATGTAAAGATATAAGGAGCGTTTACGCAAATCAATAGAACCTGTAATTTTAAAAAATCACACTATTGATATTAGTGAGCCCAACTCAGTTGTAGTTACCTTTATTAGACGTTAATACCAATACTGGTGAAAAGAGACTGTTGTCTTAGCGTGAAATGCCGAAAGGACTAGCTTCAGAAGGAAAGCCTAGTAGCAAAAAGTTTGCTAGATTGACAAGAATAAGTTAACTGTGTGTATGCTGTGTTGAACCAGTTTATCGCCGTACACATCACTTGACTTACCACTTGATGGCCAAACACACCCAACGCTGATGCCAACTCTCCTCCTCCGCCACGCCTCATTGCCAAACAAGATGATAGCGAAACTAAGAACCAACTGTCCGGCACTTTGCTTTTTCATTTTTTTGTATCACCCTGTTATGATTCCCTAAAAGGGCAGTAAGAAGGGAATTTTTACCAATTATCGCATAAAGGCCCGACACCCCTGGTAAAACAACCGTAAAACCTGAACGGCCGACTTGAGAACCCACCCTCCAAAACCTGAAGTTTTATCCTGAAATTCAATGTCTACAGAATGATTATCTCGAAACATAGAACATAATTCAAAAGAATTTGAGAGCTGACATTTGTTGGCTATTAAATAAGAATGCATCGTATTATTAAACCTTCAGAGAATAAAACAAAAATAAACAACTTCTACAAAGGACAGAATAATAAAATAACCCAAAACAATGTGAGAACAACAACATGTTTTCTCATACAATAAGTCAAAAACTATGTGGAAAAAAATAATTTAAAAAGTCCCACTCTCACCCTAAAAGTCAAATAATTACTCACCAGACTCTTTTTTTGTTTCACATTTTGTATTTCAAGTAAGCAAAATTTTAAAAAACACAACTGTTGTGGTTTGTTCTGTTGGATTTGTCACAACATTTCACTTTTGTGCCATGCATTGTCCAATGCAAACAAAAATGTCGGTACCTGAGCTTAATTCTGTGAGTTTTGGTTGTCCTTGGGAAGACACCGGGAGAGACGGGGAAGACAAACAATACCCGCACATGCAACAAGCCAGGGATGGTTCTGTCCGCAATCGGTACATGACCCCCCCCGTATTAATTTTTTATATATTTTTAATGTTAAGGCGCGCGTTATCGCAGAAGCTGTGTCAAAGCGGACACAGTTTCTCCCGAGGTCAGAACGGAGGACTTGAATCCCGGTCGATTTAATGTAAACCGCAAACATCCCGCGGCCTCACACCCAATAAAGAAAAAACCTACACGCCACATTACACAGAAAATGGACTTATCAAGAAAAAGTTGGAATTCGCGGGTTCCACCAGAAAATTCAATCACCGGTTTTACCCTGAAGCTTTATTGGTCAAAGAATTTCAACCAAAAGAGATATTGGACCAAAAAAGAAAAATCAGACATGTCCCGCTTTCCGGGCCTCCAAGGTAGAAAAGCAACAAACAACAGCGCTCCCAGCACTGAGTAGAATGAGGAATGCTTTCCTGCTTCAATGGTTAAAGACGTTAAAAACGTTCAGTGATTATGACAGCATTGAATAGGATGACATTTTGCATTAAGAGTGAGTGTGAAATCTAACACTTAAAAAAACAACAAAACAATTGTGACAAGTTAATTAAGATGATTAAAATGAAGATTCGACGGAGCATAAAGAATAAGAATAAAAAAGTTGCGATTAATCGCTGAGTTAACCATGACCATCATGGCGCATAATCCTAATTAAAAAAGATAATTGTTGGTCCAGTGATGAAAAAGACATACAGATAAAAAGATATAGAACATATACAATATTGTTTACATTATAGAAAAAGCTCGTATGAACCCAATTCCTCTACTCATTGCTATAAATTGGTTTTTTTCCCAGTGCTCAAATTGATTTAGAGCCCTGGATCACTAAGTGGTCTCTGAGACTGCGCCCGAGTCAGAATCATATCCAGAGCCCCTGAATCACATACTATGATTTTGCTTCTTCCGAGTCTGTGTATGAATACCATCCTTTTGAGACAAACTTTTGTCCCTCTGTGTTTCAGTCTGAGCATGGGTTTTGTTCCTCTGTGTTGCAGTCTGATCATGGGTTTGGTTCCTCTGTGTTTTCAGTCTGGATCATAGGGTTTTTGTTCCTCTGTGTTTTCAGTCTGATCAAGGGTTTGGGTTCCCCTCTTTGGTTTCAGTCTGATCATGGGTTTTGGTTCCTCGTGGTTTCAAGTCTGATCATGGGTTATGTTCTCTGTGGTTTCAGTCTGATCATGGGTTGGATCCTCTGTGTTTCAGACTGATCATGGTTTGGTTCCTCTGTGTTTTCAGTCTGATCAAGGGTTTGGTTCCTCTGTGTTTCAGTCGATCATGGGATTGGTACCTCTGTGATTCATCGATCATTGGGTTTGGTCCTCTGTGTTTCAGCTGATCATGGGTTTTGTTCCACTGTGTATTCAGTCTGATACATAGGGTTTGGTTCCATCTGTGTTTCAGTCTGATCATGGTTTGTTCCTCCAGTGTTTCAGTCTGATCATGAGGTTTGTTTCCTCTGTGTTTTCAGTCAGTCAGATCATGGTATTGGTTCCTCTGTGTTTCAGTCTGATCATGGTTTGGTTCCTCTGTGTGTTCATCTGATTGTGGTTTTGTTCCTCTGTGTTTCAGTCATGCTCATGGCTTTGGTTCCTCTTGTGTTTTCAGTCTGATTGTGGGTTATTGTTCCTCTGTTTTCAGGTCTGATGTGGGTTTGTCTCCTCTGTGTTTTTTCAGTCGATTGTTGGGTTTAGTTCCTCTGTGTTTCAGTCTGATCATGGTTTTTGTGATCTAAGGCCAAAGAGAAGAAATCTTCCTGAAGATGAAGCAGAGAGGGACTTCCTACTGCGCTTCAGCGAAAGTACTGATGGAGGAGTTACCTCTCCCTGGATAGACACCACCAATCCCCGGTCTGTTCACCAAATCAGGTCTCAGTAGCAAGACGTGGATATTTATCTGTGCAAAAGGCCTGCAGTCGGTATCACACTGGTCTCAGGGACTTGAGAAAAGTAAAGTTGAAAAAAGGAAGAGTATTGAGTTAACTTAACAAAAAGATCAAACCATTTATTGAACTACTACAAACTAACTGCTATTACTACTACTATAACTGCTACTAAACTACTATTACTAGATATACTGCCCACAAAAAAAAGCACACAGCGTGAAGGTGCAGAAGTAGATTAGTGAGTGAGGACCACATATTTACTTTTTAAAAGTTATAGTTAAACATTGTCCAGTAGAATAAGTGCCTAATACTTAAAAGTAAAGTCGTTACTATAAAATAAAGGCAGTGGAAATAGTTTTATTTCTCGATATCTTCTAGAACTATGACTGCAATAAACCGCTCTGAGTCGCAGGTGATCCAAGATGATAAAACCGATCAGACCTTTTCACCAAAAGCGATCTGGAACAAATTCCCTTTTCATTAAATAAACGGAACTTCCAGCTGAATGGAGCAGGACAACGTTCGGAGAAATCCCCTGCATTATCTTATCCAAACATTCCCAAGAAGACATGCCTTCAGGAAGTACTACAGTGACATAGAGCGAGGTGAGATGATACGGCATCAGGTTAGGCTGTGTTCCCAGCTAAAGTGGGCCTAGGCTGTGTGACCGCGCAGACTGGGCTTCTTGCCTGTTGCTTAGCAACTGGGACTCCGCCTGGTGGCGAAGAGAAGGAAAGTATACATGTGTAAATACTATTGTTTCAAAATTCAGACAAAGTCCTTACATCGAATACATCAGAACAAAAACTCATGTTCGACACACCGACAGAGTTAAGTTACCTCCACATGCAAGAGACACCATGGAGGGATCCTTAGGCTTCCTGAGAGCTCCTGGTCTCACGGGCTCCTGAGGCTCACAGGATGCTTCTGAGGAGGCCCCTGAGGATGCCCAGGCTCGAGTGTGGGTTGACAGTGTTTTGTTTGTGTTGTGTGTGGTGATGTGTGTGTGTGTTGTTTGTGTAGGAACTCGTCAGAGGCTTCGAACTTTGTGCAGAGTCAGGTGAGTGCTCCTCTGCTGGTCACTTTAGTACTCAAACAGCAGAGGTCAAACACTGAGATGATAAACTGTTGTCACAGTATTAATTGTGTGTTCTTCATCATCGTTAAAGTTTTTACACAGGACTTCCAAAGTCTCCCAGTAGCCGTCTTTTTGACAGCTCTCCCCCCCCCCTCAATAACCCCTGCAATTCAGGAAACAATCCCCCAAAAGAGTTTGTTTTCCCACCAGATTTGTTAAAAAGGGACCACAAACTTTGTACCTTTACACACTTTTAATAGTGCTACGCTCAGCCGTTCCAGGACCAGTCCAGGACCAGCACCTATGAGTTTGGTATGCCAAAAGATCAAAACGGCTACCTAGTTTTTTACTTTAGAATTATCTCTAGTACTCGCCTTTATAATGCAGAATTACAACGTAACAAAATATATTATCATAAAATAATGACAGAAAAACTACAGCTCAAAACAGACAGTCAAAGTTATGAGGAGCAAGAGTCCTAGCCGACGACTGATGTCTCTAAGCTTAAAAACTAAATCTCTGGGGGTCCTAGTGTTTAAATAACATTATAAGGAAGATCAATAGTAAACACTTCAGTCTCAATCTGTTACATGTATAAGTGTTTAGGTTTGGCTCTCGAACCTCAGAATGTTTAGAATAAAAGTTAAAGAAGACCCTGAGTTTGTCGCCTCTGTGGTTTGAAACTTTCGCATGACCCTGTCCCTTGTCCAGTGACAATCACAGAACCTCTTAAACCTGATCTTTCAATCAATGATTTATAGGGTTCTGTCTTAACACAGAAGATCACTTTCTTTCCACTTACCTCAGTGTGCCCCAGCGCATCTGTGGCTAACAGTAGTATTTTAGACCTTTGTGTTTTGGAGTGGACGCCTTTTGAGAGAGTGGCTATGTAAAACCCCTGTAAAAAAAGCAATAATAATGGTATTATTATTATAGTTGTTGTATTAATAAAGAACTCCGTGGGGGAGATTACAGAGTTATTCTATAAACGAAAGTCAGGTACCCCCCAGTTTTATAATCAATATCACATGTCGGATCCTATTTGCATTACACTCACTTTACTTTCGTAGATGTAAAAGAGGCTTTTGTCCATTTTCCCAATAGTTTTCCATACCCAAGGTGTTTATCCGATGTTTATATAATTCTCTAATAAACCAACAATAGATATAGAAAAAAAACCCCAGCAGGGACGTGCGGTGAGGTTTTGGTGATTGGAGAGCACTGGACTTTAAAAGTCAGATTTACAATCATTTCATTCAAATAAAAAATACATATAATCACCAATGCAATGACATCCACAAACTTTATAACCTGAAAAGATAAGAGAACCAGCTCTCTTTAATAACACACAACTAATCTAGCTGCTGACTCTGCACCGCATCATACACACTTTTAAAAGCGCAGGTGCGAGAGAACGTCCGAGGAGAGAGAGACGCGAGGAGATAGGAGCAGAGAGAGACAGAGAGGAGCAGAGAGACGGAGACGCGGTAGCAGAGAAGACGGAGACCGAGAGAGAGAGACGCGAGGAGGAGGAGGCAGAGAGAGACAGAGAGGACAAGAGAACGAGACGCAGGACAGAGAGAGACGAGACGCCGAGGAGAGAGAGACTCGAGGAAGAGAGAGCAGAGAGAACAAGAGAGAGCAAGAGACGGAGACCGAGAAAAACGGTTTTTACGCGTTGATAGTGAGCGCGGGAGAAGGTCGCCTGTTACACTCTGTGTGCCTGGACTGAGAAACAGGTGATGGTGATGTCAGATGGTGATGAGACTGGGATGAAGTTAGCAGGAATCAACGGGAGAAACTGCTGAAGTCCCATGGATAGCTTTCTTTTCCCTGCGTAAAAATCCAATAAAACAAGCGATAATTATTATAAAAAACTAAACGGCTCTCATTTAGTGTCTATCAAAGGAGAAATGTGTCTTGGGACAGGTCCACATGCTTTACATAGACACGCATACATTTGTATACACCACAGAATTTATCAAATAGACCTAATAAGACGCATAGTACGTTGCTAAAAAACTGCTTCAATGTCGATTTTGGATACGCGCTAGTGATATTTACGCACAATTAGCCTTATCCCATCACTTTGCTTCAGTATTTACAATCCAAAACGTCACATCCTCAAACTGCCAGTAAAGCACTTCTCACAGCCGTACCAATCCATCCATTCGTTCTCCAGTCCAAACCCGGTCTCCAACGGGACAACGCGAGCCAATAATGACCTACCGTGCACCACGAATTTGAGCCGAGCCATCTTCCCCGCCACAGCCGAGACCAGAAGCGACAACAGGACGAGCGATTTCATGCTTGTAAATAGCGTTGTCTTCTCGCGTCCTCCTTGTTCCAAAAAAAATATTTAAAGCAGCGATCGTCGTGCGTTTTGTTCTCCTCTTGGGACGTCAACCCCTAAAATCCACACACACACACGCAGACCTCACAGACCAGACCAGCGCGCTGCCTCTGCCTCTGCCTCTGACACCTCCTTCTCTCTCCAGTCTCCTCTCTGGACGCACGCCTGGGTTTCGGATGGAGAGAGTGAGAGGAGGGAGGAGGGAGGAGAGGGAGAGAGGAGGAGGGAGAGCGTGCGTTTTGGATGATGGGGGAGTGAAGTGTGTAGGAGCGAGAGGCCAGGACGCACGGCGGAGGAGCAGACGGTGAGACGAGAGAGCTCAGACCGAGGCGCACATGTCAGACCTGTTGCCGAGGAGAATGATGGAGGATTTGGCGCTAATTGTCTCGCGCCTCCGAGTCCGGTTTTGATTGTTCTTTTGGTTAGGCCTGTTCTGAACCGATCTATCCACGCAGCTGTTTGTATTGACGGAAGATGATGGATAATTATAATGGATTTTACTGAAAGGATAAAACACAGAGAGAGAGAGAGGTCTTGGTTTCTTTATTACGCTAAAGTCAGAGATTTTATTTTGTTTTAGTAAATAGTTTTTGCACTGGCTTTCTGTGGCTCAGAGCTCTCTCCATGGCCTCGCACCAAAGTACATCTGTGATATGTTAGTGCCATCTGGACCAACTCTGAGGAGCACAGGGACTGGTCTCCTACTGGGACTCTGAGGAGCACAGGGACTGGCCTCCTACTGGGACTCTGAGGAGCACAGGGACTGGCCTCCCGCTGGGACTCTGAGGAGCACAGGGACTGGCCTCCTGCTGGGACTCTAAGGAGCACAGGGACCGGCCTTCTGCTGGTCCCAGAGTCAGGACTAAACATGAGAAGGCAGCGTTTCAGATTTGTGCAGCTAAAATCCTGAACAGTCTTCCTGAAAATGTGAGACAGGCTTCTTCTCCAGGTTAAAACAGTTTCGCTGCAACGACTTAAGGATTTTATCTCTGTTATTTTTATTGTAGTGTGATACTGCAAGTTGCCTTGAGTATGAACTGTGCTATATACAATTAAAATTGCTTCACATTAATCTATGTCAGACTCTTGGACCCCTCGACACGTCCGGCCCGTCAGTCTCCTTCCCTGCTGTTACCATAGCAATACCAGTGTTAGCCATAGCATTAGCCTCCACAATGTTTTGACTCCTGTCTTTACTTTCCATTAAAAAGAGCATCTCCCACAGCTCTGAGCGGAGAGACCAGGCGCCAGCTCAGCACATCTGAAGCTAGCTGCTGATCCCCGCAGACTCCGGGGCAGTATTGAGGCTCATTGATTGGATGGATTCCACAGCTGCGCTCTGATTGGCTGCAGGAAGGCCATAAACGCCCCTTTGTGATCGGACTCTGATTCATGACGACTGAGAGTGAGACTAATTGGACTACCGCACTTTGTGTTCATTTTAAGCGCTTAATAAATCACATTTGATGCATTGATTGATATGAAGCGTGTCCAAAAAACTGCAGTTTAAAACCAAAACATTATTATTAAAACTATTATTAATAATTAAAAGTCCAGGACCAGTGTTAAAGCCAACAGGGTTAGAGCTCTAGGATTAGGACTAGGACTAGGACTAGGACTGGGACTGGGTCTAGAATTTGGGCTAGCACAAGGATTAGGACTAGGACTAGGATAAGAACTAGGACAAGGACTAGGACTAGGACAAGAACTGGGACTGGGACTGGGACTAGGACCAGGACTGGGACTGGGACTAGGACCAGGACTGGGACTGGGACTAGGACCAGGACTAGGACGAGGACTGGGACCAGCAATAGGACTATAAGACTAGAACTAAGATTAGAACAAGGACGAGGACTAGGACAAGGACTTGGATTTGGACTAGGACTAGGACTAGAACTAGGATTAGAACTAGTACGCGGACTAAGACGAGGATTAGAATTTGGACAAGGACTAGTCTAGGATCAAACTTTGCATGTCTAATCTACTTTAACATTGATGCAGGACTCTTAAATACTTAGTTCTAAAAACTTTAAAGGCGACTCTGGATTATTGAGTAAAAAAACCACATATTTTTCCTCAGTGTGAACAAGCCTTTAGTCTGGGATTAGACCTGGACTGGTCTGGTCTGCAGCAGCGACTCTGGGCCGAAGCCAAACACATTAATTTAGTGTCGCTGAGACCGAGGCAGAGGCTGAAGAAGCAAAGGTACAAGTTCAATCTTCAGACGACTTTGTTAACGCACAAACTGTGATGTAGTTTTATCACAACAACTGCAAATGGAAACATCAGGCAAGTTTTTTTGTGTAGCACAGTTCATACACACAGAGACACGAAGGATCAACAAAACCATAAAGACACAGTCACACAAGGCAAGAAAATAATAAATAATCACAGCACATTAGAAAGAGTAAAGACACAGTCCTTCAGTTGTGTTTTTAACCTGAGTTTGGACTTTGTCAGAGAAGAAGCCTGTCTCACATCTTCAGGAAGACTGCTCTAGATTTTAGCTGCATGAATCTGATTCTGTCTCATCATAGTCCTGACTCTGGGACCAGCAGGAGGCCAGTCCCTGTGCTCCTGTCATATGGTACAAACATGTCACAGATGTACTTTGAGGCGATGGAGAGACTTGTAACAATCAAAGCTGATTTAAAATCTATTCTCTGACCTACAGGTGCAGAGACCTGAGACCAGGACTAGGTTCTAGTCCGGACTAATGTGATGGTACTTCCTGGTTCTAGTCAGGGCTAATGTGATGGTACTTCCTGGTTCTAGTCAGGACTAATGTGATGGTACTTCCTGGTTCTAGTCAGGACTAATGTGATGGTACTTCCTGGTTCTAGTCAGGGCTAATGTGATGGTACTTCCTGGTTCTAGTCAGGACTAATGTGATGGTACTTCCTGGTTCTAGTCAGGGCTAATGTGATGGTACTTCCTGGTTCTAGTCAGGGCTAATGTGATGGTACTTCCTGGTTCTAGTCAGGGCTAATGTGATGGTACTTCCTGGTTCTAGTCAGGACTAATGTGATGGTACTTCCTGGTTCTAGTCAGGACTAATGTGATGGTACTTCCTGGTTCTAGTCAGGACTAATGTGATGGTAGTCCGGACTAATTTGAGGCTTCTTCCTGGTTAGTCCTGGTACTTCCTGGTTTTTGTCCGGACTCGAGCTGCAGTGTTTTGAATATACTGTTTTACGAGTGGTTTGGAGAGACCCGTGAGCAGCTGTTACAGTCTGACCTGCTGCGTTAGAATCTACAACTCTGCTTTAGACCCTGATGTTTGATTATAACAATGTTTTTATTAAGATTGTAGCAGGCTTCTGATGTTACTGATGTGGCTTTTCAAATCTGAGTCTGAGTCCAGCGAAAACACAAGGGGTCCAAAACATACAACACAGAGTAAACCAGAGCAGTCAGGATCCACGGGAAAATAATGTAAAAAGCAAAGAGTTTAAGGTCCGAGGCACGAGAGACTTAACTTAAAAACCCTTTATTGTTGCCGTAGCGACGTATTTTTACCAATCTCTGGTCTGGTCTTTTTAAAGTCTAAGTCTGAGTCCATTTGGATTTGATAAAAACCACAAAAACCATTAATCAACAATCAACAGTTTTAAAGTATTTTGATCATAACTTCCCTTTGACACATGTGACTGTCCTCTGGGACTCACAGGGACCATGCTCCTGGGAATCACAGGGACCATGCTCCTGGGAATCACAGGGACCATGCTCCTGGGAATCACAGGGACCATGCTCCTGGGACTCAAAGGGACCATGCTCCTGGGAATCACAGGGACCATGCTCCTCGGACTCACAGGGACCATGCTCCTCGGACTCACAGGGACCATGCTCCTGGGGCTCACAGGGACCATGCGTCTGGGACTCACAGGGACCATGCTCCTCGGACTCACAGGGACCATGCTCCTGGGGCTCACAGGGACCATGCTCCTGGGACTCACAGGGACCATGCTCCTGGGACTCACAGGGACCATATGCTTCTGGGACTCACAGGGACCATGCTCCTGGGACTCACAGGGACCATGCTCCTGGGACTCAAAGGGACCATGCTCCTGGGAATCACAGGGACCATGCTCCTCGGACTCACAGGGACCATGCTCCTGGGGCTCACAGGGACCATGCGTCTGGGACTCACAGGGACCATGCTCCTGGGACTCACAGGGACCATACCCTGGGACTCACAGGGACCATGCTCCTGGGACTCACAGGGACAATGCTCCTGGGACTCACAGGGACCATGCTCCTCGGACTCACAGGGACCATGCTCCTTGGGTTCACAGGGACCATACTTCTGGGACTCACAGGGACCATGCTCCTGGGACTCACAGGGACCATACCCTGGGACTCACAGGGACCATGCTCCTGGGACTCACAGGGACAATGCTCCTGGGACTCACAGGGACAATGCTCCTGCGACTCACAGGGACAATGCTCCTGCGACTCACAGGGACCATGCTCTTGGGACTCACAGGGACCATGCTCCTTCAACTCACAGGGACCATGCTCCTGCGACTCAAAGGGACCATGCTCCTGGGACTCACAGGGACCATACCCTGGGACTCACAGGGACCATACCCTGGGACTCACAGGGACCATGCTCCTGGGACTCACAGGGACCATATCCTGGGACTCACAGGGACCATGCTCTTGGGACTCACAGGGACCGTACTCCTGGGACTAACAGGGACCATACCCTGGGACTCACAGGGACCATGCTCCTGGGACTCACAGGGACCATGCTCCTGGGACTCACAGGGACCATACCCTGGGACTCACAGGGACCATACCCTGGGACTCACAGGGACCATGCCCCTGGGACTCACAGGGACCATATCCTGGGACTCACAGGGACCATGCTCCTGGGACTCATAGGGACCATACCCTGGGACTCACAGGGACCATACCCTGGGACTCACAGGGACCATACCCTGGGACTCACAGGGACCATTCTCCTGGGACTCACAGGGACCATACCCTGGGACTCACAGGGACCATGCTCCTGGGAATCACAGGGACCATGCTCCTGGGAATCACAGGGACCATGCTCCTGGGAATCACAGGGACCATGCTCCTGGGACTCAAAGGGACCATGCTCCTGGGAATCACAGGGACCATGCTCCTCGGACTCACAGGGACCATGCTCCTCGGACTCACAGGGACCATGCTCCTGGGGCTCACAGGGACCATGCGTCTGGGACTCACAGGGACCATGCTCCTCGGACTCACAGGGACCATGCTCCTGGGGCTCACAGGGACCATGCTCCTGGGACTCACAGGGACCATGCTCCTGGGACTCACAGGGACCATATGCTTCTGGGACTCACAGGGACCATGCTCCTGGGACTCACAGGGACCATGCTCCTGGGACTCAAAGGGACCATGCTCCTGGGAATCACAGGGACCATGCTCCTCGGACTCACAGGGACCATGCTCCTGGGGCTCACAGGGACCATGCGTCTGGGACTCACAGGGACCATGCTCCTGGGACTCACAGGGACCATACCCTGGGACTCACAGGGACCATGCTCCTGGGACTCACAGGGACAATGCTCCTGGGACTCACAGGGACCATGCTCCTCGGACTCACAGGGACCATGCTCCTTGGGTTCACAGGGACCATACTTCTGGGACTCACAGGGACCATGCTCCTGGGACTCACAGGGACCATACCCTGGGACTCACAGGGACCATGCTCCTGGGACTCACAGGGACAATGCTCCTGGGACTCACAGGGACAATGCTCCTGCGACTCACAGGGACAATGCTCCTGCGACTCACAGGGACCATGCTCTTGGGACTCACAGGGACCATGCTCCTTCAACTCACAGGGACCATGCTCCTGCGACTCAAAGGGACCATGCTCCTGGGACTCACAGGGACCATACCCTGGGACTCACAGGGACCATACCCTGGGACTCACAGGGACCATGCTCCTGGGACTCACAGGGACCATATCCTGGGACTCACAGGGACCATGCTCTTGGGACTCACAGGGACCGTACTCCTGGGACTAACAGGGACCATACCCTGGGACTCACAGGGACCATGCTCCTGGGACTCACAGGGACCATGCTCCTGGGACTCACAGGGACCATACCCTGGGACTCACAGGGACCATACCCTGGGACTCACAGGGACCATGCCCCTGGGACTCACAGGGACCATATCCTGGGACTCACAGGGACCATGCTCCTGGGACTCATAGGGACCATACCCTGGGACTCACAGGGACCATACCCTGGGACTCACAGGGACCATACCCTGGGACTCACAGGGACCATTCTCCTGGGACTCACAGGGACCATACCCTGGGACTCACAGGGACCATACCCTGGGACTCACAGGGACCATGCTCCTGGGACTCATAGGGACCATACCCTGGGACTCACAGGGACCATACCCTGGGACTCACAGGGACCATGCCCCTGGGACTCACAGGGACCATGCTCCTGGGACAATGCTCTTGGGACTCACAAGGACCATACTCCTGGGACTCACAGGGACCATACCCTGGGACTCACAGGGACCATACTCCTAAGACTCACAGGGACCATACCCTGGGACTCACCAGGGACCATGTTCCTGGGACTCACAGGGACCATGCTCCTGGGACTCACAGGGACCATACCCTGGGACTCACAGGGACCATGCTCCTGGGAATCACAGGGACCATGCTCGTCGGACTCACAGGGACCATGCTCCTGGGGCTCACAGGGACCATGCTTCTGGGACTCACAGGGACCATGCTCCTCGGACTCACAAGGACCATGCTCCTGGGACTCACAGGGACCATACCCTGGGACTCACAGGGACCATGCTCCTGTGACTCACAGGTACCATGCTCCTGGTACTCACAGGTACCATGCTCCTGGTACTCACAGGGACCATGCTCCTGGGACTCATAGGGACCATGCCCTGGGACTCACAGGGACCATGCTCCTGGGACTCACAGGGACCATACCCCTAAGACTCACAGGGACCATACCCTGGGACTCACAGGGACCATGCTCCTGGGACTCACAGGTACCATGCTCCTGGGAATCACAGGGACCATGCTTCTGGGACTCACAGGGACCATGCTCCTCGGACTCACAGGGACCATACTTCTGGGACTCACAGGGACCATGCTCCTCGGACTCACAGGGACCATGCTCCTGTGGCTCACAGGGACCATGCTTCTGGGACTCACAGGGACCATACCCTGGGACTCACAGGGACCATACCCTGGGACTCACAGGGACCATGCTCCTGTGAACCATACCCTAGGACTCACAGGGACCATGCTCCTGGGACTCATAGGGACCATGCCCTGGGACTCACAGGGACCATGCTCCTGGGACTCACAGGGACCATACTCCTAAGACTCACAGGGACCATACCCTGGGACTCACAGGGACCATACTCCTAAGACTCACAGGGACCATACCCTGGGACTCACAGGGACCATGCTCCTGCGACTCACGGGACCATGCTCCTGGGACTCACAGGGACCATGCTCCTGGGACTCACAGGGACCATGCTCCTGGGACTCACAAGGACCATGCTCTTGGGACTCACAGGGACCATGCTCCTCCTGGTCTCATCTCAGTCACAGCTGATACTGGATATCTACATGTTTTTAATGGGAAGTCTGACACAGAGCAGCTGCAGGAGACTGTCTTCTGTCGTCTCTCTCTCTCTCTCTCTCTCTCTCTCTCTCTCTCTGTCTCTCTCTTTCTCTCTGCCTCTCTCTCTGTCTCTCTCCCTCTGTAGGTGTTAGTTCTCAGTGTCATGATCTCTTCTTCATGTTTTGAAGTCGACAATATTTCATGTGTGTTATTCTTCTGTGTTGTGCGTTGTCCTCCCTAAAAGTTCTTTATTCAGTTTAAAGTTTTATCCATTTGCAGCTAAAAGTCCATGTGCACCAGAGACAGCAACACAAACACACACACGTTTTTGTTACCTGGTGGGTGCCTTTGACAGGGCCGTTCCGAATGGGAAACAAACAACTCTTTTAAAGGAATTTTATTTTTGATTTTTTTTTTCGAATTGCAGTGATTCTATTTTTGACATAGAATTTAATGCCACTCCATGTCCGATGTCTAAGGTCATCTGGTGAGGCATTAATGCAGGCCAGGCAGTGAGACTGCAGGGACTTTTCCAGTCTGTATGAAAGCCCACCTCAAGACCTTCTTCACGACTCCCACTGATGACTGCTGTCGTTGTGTCCTTGGGCAAGACACTTAACCCCACTTTGCCTGAAGCCCCCACTGAAATATCTCAGCTCCTGTGGACTCACCACCTGCAGGAGGATCAGTGAGGGGCTTGGTGCTCTGTGACTGGGTGCAGCTCTGACTGCCACCCCCCCGACCCAGAAATGGATTAAGGGGAAGAAAATGGATGGATGGATGGATGGACCTTCAGGCTCAATTTGTATCTGGTCGAGGCTCTTTCCTTTGAATTCCGTCACTCTTCCCTGCTCCATGGCCATTAACACTTTGCTGATTTTGGCCAGCTCCAGTGTCCCCTCTGGTAGTCTGTAATATTGTCTGTGGATGCGAATGTCATGGCCGAGGAAGTTGGCAAGTATGTCCATTTCATTCTCTTTCATATTGAGAACTGTAGACATAGTAGCTATGTGCTTTCTAAGTTTGGTTGAGGATAGCATCTCTGGATGCACCGCACCACATTCTTTGGCTACCTGCCGTAGGGAGTCTGATCCCCTGATGTGGGTGTCTGCGCCCGGGCGGGAGAAGAAGTATGGGTTATGGTCAGAGATGGAACAGGCCCTTCTGTGTTCCACCAGCACCTCCATCGAAGCAATCATTTCAGGAGTCAAAAGAACCGGCACTTTCCCACTTCTTTTCCCTTTAATTTCAATGCGTTGAAAATGCTGACACAGCTTTTTCTCAAGTTGGGACAGTCCCAGAGCAATGTCAGAATGGATCCCAGTCTTACTTCTTAAGGTAAAGGCTGTCAGTGGCATCTTTGAAACCTCACCTTCCCTTCTTCGATTGAAAATGATGACCTCACAAAGAGTCAAAACTGCCAGTTTAGACCAATGCTTAGAGGTTGGCTCACTTATTAGGCTTTGCACATATTCAGGTCGACATACCTCAATATGTGCATGCATGGCTCTAACGTCCTCAATCAGAGGGAGCAGGTCCGGAGTGTTCCACTTGGCTTGCCGGAGGGTCTGTAGGGCAGCAGAAGAAACACAGACGTCCCACCTCTTCTCAAAAAGCAGCCGGCTTCGTTGGAGGTTTTTAATAAATAGTTCATCAACACAATGCTCCATTTTTGAGTCACATTCAAGAATATCTGCTAGCTTTCTGAGGCTATGGGCCAAGGATGGAGTCTTGTATTGATTTGTTTCCTCATCATATCCAGCCACAGACCTGACTGCATCAATCACATGGTTAAAGTTGGAAGGAATAAAGAAATCCTTCATTGTTTTCAGTTTCCCTGCCGTTTTTGCTTCGTTAATTAACCTACCGACTTCTCTCATTTTCTGCCTAATGTAATCATGCTTAGTCTTATCATGCCCGTGTTTTAAGTACAGGTGCTCTCCGAGTCTCAGAATCCCCTTTTCTGCTTTGACAACACCCGTGACCTCATCCTGATGCATTGCCGAAATTAAAGACCACAGCTTTTTGCTGATGCCCTCCGGTACAGGCTGGGCTAGGGAGCAGAGGGACTGGACCCTACTTCTACCTGGTTTAGCCTGGGCATCTTTCTGTGAAAGCCGGCACCTGGCCACATGCCTCCACAGCGACTTTCGCTTAAGCAATGCCCCACAGTCTATACAGTGCAAAAACTCACTGGATTTAACTGGGGAATTTGGCTGTTTAGCTGGGACTAAAGTTCCAATGCCGGCCTTTAAAACCTCAAAATTGTGCTCACGGTTTCCACTATTCCTGATCAAATCAAACTGAAGTTTACGTGCTTTAGATTTCACAGGTAGAGCCAATGCTCTGGCTACGTCACTTTCATTTCCATGTTTTCTAGTCAAATGACGGGACATTTTGTGGCAGGACATTGAACAGTAGAGGCAGAAGTGTCTCTTGCTGTAAACTCTCCCCCCATTTTTCTTCTTTTGCAGCTGCATGATAACAATCTTATTTGCCTTTGGTTCGTCACTTTCCGAGTCTTGAAGAAAAGTGTTTTTGATTTTTCTTTTTCCATACTTTTTTACAGGTTTCTTCGACAGTTAAATCGTCAGAATCTGAGTCGACTTCATCAATTAGGGACTCTTGACTAAGCTGCACAATCAACAAATAATTTGTAATAATTCTATATAACAATTTGAAGTCATGACTACTAGTCAGCACTTACCAGTGGTTTGTAAGCGTGCGCTTCAGTGTGCTCCTCCATGATTTCTTGCAGCCTAATGAACCACACACTTGCACCTTTTCTAGCCTGACACCTGATTTCCTCTGTTGTGCTGCTCCATGATTGGCTCCAGCCTGCTGGACTGAAATTGCCCCAGTGTGCCCCTCCTTGATATTCCGCAACCCACCACCAGGGTTCCGACACATAACACACTTTTTTCAGGAAAGTAAACCTCCAGGGGTCCTTTCCATATTTTTACAGAGACTGCATAAGGACCGTTAGAAAAGCATTACCCATTGATTATTAAGCTTGGACCAGTGGGGTCCGGTGTTCGGGCCCCACCACGTAAAACCAGTCCCCATGACGTGAGTGGAATCTCAGGTTATGGAACCCACCAGGAGTTGAAAACAAGTGCACACACACACACAAACACACACACACACACGCAAACACACACACACACACACACACACACACACACACACACACACACACACACACACACACACACACACACACACACACACACACACACACACAGATTCAGATTCAGATTCATTTATTTGCCATTTGCAGTAAAACCACATTGGAAAAACTGTGCAAGACTACCCCGGTGTGCACCAGACAGAGGAGACGACACACACCAGAGCTCTTGCCACACACACAGACACACATACACACACACACACACACAAACAAACACACACACAAACACACACACACACCCACACAAACACATGTGTCGTCACATCAAACATCCTGCATTTGTTTTGGACTGTAACAGAGACTATAGATTAGGAGAGGATTGACCGAGTGTGACATCACCATCTAATGTTGGCCTCAGTGCGGAAAAAGTCAATTTCCATATATGGGCATTTGTTTTGATGGCACTTGTTTTACGCAGTGTCACAGATGTGTTTGTTAGAGAAAGTGGGGTTGACGCGCACATCCAATACTGAGCAGCGTGCAAAAAAGTCGATAATAGAAAACATGAAAAGAAAAGGAGATGACTCTGCACAGCTTTTAGCTCCCAAGAGTAGACACAGATGTGTTTGTTAAAATAGTCGCGAAGGGAAATTAACCAATCCTTACGTGGCTTATAACAGGATTTACAAAGAGAAGTGAAGAAATGACAAAGGTTCGAAGGTCTGGGATCGTGGAACAGTCCCTGTGCTCCTCAGAGTCCCAGTAGGAGGCTAGTCCCTGTGCTCCTCAGAGTCCCAGCAGGAGGCCAGTCCCTGTGCTCCTCAAATTCCCAGCAGGAGTCCAGTCCCTGTGCTCCTCAAATTCCCAGCAGGAGGCCAGTCCCTGTGCTCCTCAAATTCCCAGCAGGAGTCCAGTCCTTGTGCTCCTCTGAGTCCCAGCAGGAGGCCAGTCCCTGTGCTCCTTACAGCTTCACACCTTGCAGACCATAAAACAAGGCCTGTTGAAACATAGAACTAGAACTATTTTATTTGACTGATGCTTTTAAACTCTCCTCCTGGACTCAGTAACGTAAACACAAAAACACAAACACAAACGTCCCACCGTTTTATCACAGGTACAGGTAATAACTTATTTTGATTTGCTTCAGTCCCTGCGGTGAGCTCTGAGTCCGTCCAACACGCACTACCCCCGATGACCAGCAGAGGGCAGCAGGAGCCTCCTCACTGCTGCGCCCTGCTCCTGTATCATCAGGGTTCAGCAGGGTTTTAAACTAGAGCGATATAAAAGAGAAGCAGAGGAGAAAACATGTGGCGGCTCTGAATATTTCATCAGATCCATTATTAAAAGCAGCAAACAATTCATCTCTGTTTGTGTGTCTGAGAGTTTGGCAGTAATCTGGTCTGATGTGCATCTGAGTGGAGCTTTTAGATTACGATTAGGATTAAGATTAGAGATGCTTTATCGGTCCCACAGTGAAGGAAATGTCAGTGTTGCATCATGGGTACAGAACAGTAGAATGAGGAGCACACAGCACAAGACAACGCCAAAACACAAAAGAATATCATAAATTAGCAAAATAAAGAAGCAAGTTTAAAATCTCTAAATGATAAAAATCCCAAATATG